CAGCGGAGGCGAACGAACGCATCAAGTCACGTCACACGTGAGGCATGAGCGCCATCTGGCAGTTCTTATAGGAAAACAAAGTGCGTGTCCCTGAGACGGGCGTGCACGACCGTCTCAGAGGTGATAAGGTGCAACGCAAGGTGACGGGTAGGTGCCACCACCGTGTCGTGTTTGCAAAGCATTGGAAACATTCGCTTCTTCGTTAAAGCGTTGCATGGTCAGCGCAGCGCTATGGTCCTTAGTATTACTTATGTATGCCTCTTCTAGTAAAAGACGAACATGCAGAACATATATGTGTTGTTATGGTCCCTGAGATGTGCGGAATAATTGCTTTTAGTTGACAATCGCACACGTAGGAATGCTGATTCTTGAGCAACATTGGTGGGCGCTGCAGGTTGGGTCGGAGGTTCGGGGTGTCGGCTTGCGCTGTTTAGAGTACCAAGTTTGCGGTAACGGTGGACAAACAGACAAATGTACAGACAGACAAACAGACAGACGGACAGACCGATAGACAGACAGACAGACAGACAGGCAGACAGACAGACAGACAGACAGACAGACAGACAGACAGACAGACAGACAGACAGACAGACAGACAGACAGACAGACCAAAGTTTTTGCGGGGAAGGATCCCAGGAAAGATTATCTTCTTTTAAAAGGAGAGGGACTGCTTGGCAGAACAAGTCGTGCAGTGCTCGACGTTTCTGTAAAAGGAGGGCGAATGGGACGTTGTCATAAAGTTAACCCGTATGACAGCCAGGCTCAACCTTCTAAGACGGAGGTGACATTGTAGTGAAAGAATGACAGCAAGGAGAAGGCACACTTTCGAAAAAAATAGCCGTATTTTTTGTGTTGGTGATCGAAAGTTTACTATCCTTGCTGCTGCATTTTTCCCTCATTTTAGTCGTGCTGCCAAGACTGTAGCTGCAGATTTTTTTTTTGCGGAAGACGGAGTGCGAACAGTGCTGAGACGTAGCTTTGACCTGGGAAATGCAACGACACTGGCTTGTGAACAGAAGAGGGGCAAATAAAAGTTCTTCAAGCCTGGAACGGTCGTCGTGATTCCTTCACGTGCATCACGTTCTGGGGCCCCCGAACGTGTGCACAGACCTTTCAATTAGGTAAACTGGTCAGCCTTCTCTTATTTGTGTGAAAATGACGTTTACTAAGGTGGCGTAATGTTTGTGCATTTTATTGCTTATTTGTTTACATACGTTGTAGTTAACTTTTCCTTATTTTGTGCTTGAAGATGTTCGTCTTGCAGAAATACATGCTCATACCATAACTACTACGAAAAATGTTCACAACGACAAGTATCAAAACAGAACAGGTAGTGCAAATTAAGAAACAAAAATGCCAACTAATCTTGAAATTTATTTCGAGATAAGATGGACTTTCTTTAAAGACAGGCCGCAACCATGCAAGCTATAAGGGCCCACTTTGCTACAAGTATGACAATGAGCACGCACTAAAATGCAACTGTAATAATGAAAATTATTATTTGATAAAATTAGAATATTATCGGGAGGGGCATTGCTGATGCTGTCTAGAAGAGTACCGAAATAAGATTGATTGATTGATTGGAGTGTAAGATTTAACATCCCAAATCCACCATATTATTATGAGAGACACCATAGGTGGAGGGCTTCGAAAATCTCCACCACCTGGTGTTATTTACGTGCCCCCAAATCTGAGCACACGGGCCTACAACAATTTCGCCTCAATTGTAAGTGCAGCCGCAGCAGCCGGGATTTGATCTCCCGACCTGCGGGTACAAAAATAGTAATATTTTATTCAAAAATTGCTTATGAATCTTTATGCAAAGGTAGAGCTATCGATTTAGAAACATATAAAGATATTTGACCTGTTTTGAGCTTTGTTCACGTCAGGGAGGTGTGTTTTTATCATGTTGCCGCTGTCTCACACCGGATTACATCGAAAGCACTTCTTGATATTGAGCGCTCATCCTGTCTTTGTGCATGTGCGTGTGTGTGTGCGCGCGAATGTGTGGTCAGCTTTAGAAGTTGCTTCTTCTCATAGACTCACAGACTCTATAGTGTCTGTGGGTTGAGTTTTCTCAGTTTTTATCCCTGTCGCATGGTTTTCAGTTAATATGTATAACTATTTTTATACATTATAGATTTTTTTATAGATCAGCTCAAGCCTTGCGTTATCAATGAATCTGATGGATGTTCCTTCGGGGATGATGAAGAGTTGTTCTCGGTGGCCGCACTTTCTTCATTTGTCGTGCATGATTTCTCAGCATTATATGGTTCATTGTGAAGCTCTGCGCTGCAAACTTGAGTGCTGTTGATTTCATCTGATCGGTATTATTGTGTTTTGTTTTGGTGTCTTTTTGCAAGTTTGTGTATTCTTGTCTCTTTTTTCCAAATGCTGGGCAATGATCCAGAATTGGCTGCTTATTTTGAATAAATCAAGGAATAAAAACTTAAGTGTTTCTTTGAATTTCATCTGCTAGAGCTGTGTGCGAAATAATACACTGATTGATTTATATATATGTGGGGTTTAACGTCCCAAAACCACCATAAGATTATGAGAGACGCCGTAGTGGAGGACTCCGGAAATTTCTACCACCTGGGGTTCTTTAACGTGCACCCATATTTGAGCACACGGGCCTACAACATTTCCTCCTCCATCGGAAATGCAGCCGCCGCAGCCGGGATTTGATCCCGTGACCTGCGGGCCAGCAGCCGAGTACCTTTGCCACTAGAACACCACGGCGGTGCACATAGAATACACTGTACCTCTGCAGTGCTTGCATGAGAATTGAGACTTCCTTCATATAACCAATGCGTGAAACGATCAGCATACAATAAATAAACAACGGTGCAAACACTTTAAACAAGTACTGGTCCACCTTACTAAAGTTCTATCCGGACGAAGTAAGTACATTCGAAAAATACTCCAGAGGTACCACACAAATGCTCCAATTAGCTGGAGTAAAAAACCCGCGAAAAGTGCTCCGGAGATGCCACGTAATCAGTCCGGCCAGCCGGAAGAAAATGCCTGTGAAAGGTACTCTGGCGGCACTCCGGTAGACCGGAGTAAAGTATCTTTTAAAAGTACTTTGGATGCGCCTTTCTCCAGCGAGCCAGAGCGAAAAATCTGCTCAAGAGGTCCGGAGCATTTATTGCTTCGACTAGGGGGGACGCTAGAGGACAAGCGTCTTATTCCGACCTCAGATTTATTTTTTTTACAGTGTAGTCATGGCGCCGCAAGCTGAGGTCGTGATTAACAACTCGCAAGTAGCCGTCTGTGGCTTTGCGCACGGCCGCATCTCATGGCACGTGGCCCAGATAATGTAATCAAGTTAAGGTAGCAAGGACGGCGGTGAGCTTCGAGAAGCGATGGCCTCGACGTCGTCATCCTCGCATTTCAAAACTGAAAAGCCGTTAACTCGTCGTGCCGCAGCTGATTCTGTGGCTGCCTATATCTCCAAGAGCGGGGTGATAACATTATTAACACAACAACAACAACAACTGGAATGGTCGTGGGGTGATCGTCTGACCATAATCAACGACATTATAAAACATTACAGGGTAAACAGGGGCGATTACCGACCACCAAACAACAATTTAAACAGAAGACAGGTCGTAACTCTGAGAATATTATAAACAAATACGTAGCATAGCCCGGTGATACAACGTTTGTGTTATCCAAGCATATACCCGACGGACGCGTGTAAAGCGTGCGGTGAAAGGGCCACACTGCGGCACATGCTTTGGGAGTGTGCCAGAAAAGGTAATGTTGCTGCCGCTGCTCATATCACGACGCATGTTAGGCAGGCGTGAATTCGGAGGATAATTATTGCTGCTACCACTGCGCAAGGGCAGGGGCCGCTCGCTACCGCGGCTGCGGTCACTGCTGCGGATCGGCTGCTTCAGTGTCACTGCCGCTGGGAGGCAGCAATCATCAGCAACGAGGTGGCCGACTAGCCTTTTGGGCCGTCCGGCAAGTCGGAGATGGCGCCTGAGTCCAAGCACTTCTAGCGCTCACCTGAGGCACCCCCATCATTATCGACGGAAGGGAGGAAAGGACAGGTGTAATTCCCTCTCCCACCACCTCGCCCGAAGGGAACTGCCGGACTTTAAATAAAGTTTGTTCGATCCTTCCCACATATATAATTTAGGTAGATGTACAAACGCAGGTATGACTCAAACCCAGAAAGATATCCTCATAGAGCGCTTGTATCTACTATTTAGTGTATTTGGCCTATTGCTCATGGACGCTACAAACTATTTGAAGACTGTGAGTGTCACCTGTCACATTAAAAGGTGTTCCTCGAACGATGTGCCCCTGGCAGCCTAGCCCCGGGCACAGCAGCAACCGTTGCGCAAATAAAGTTTATTCAACGCAACTGAACTCAACCTGTCACACTTTGGTTGGCCTGGAATCGGTTTGGTACCATTCAGGTATAACGAAAACTTCAATATATTTTGTTTTATTCTGCGCTAACATATTCGTGTGAGGCTTCCAGGAGTTTACTGCGAATAACGTGTGATTTGTGAACTATTGTTTTAGGATATAAAATCATCGCACTCAGAATGACGTTCGCATAAGTAGCGGAGCTGTTGTCAGTTGTGCATGACAGCATAACATCTGCCGAAGACAATAGTACAGTGAATCAGCTTTGGCGAGTACATAGGCTAGCATCCCAATAGTAATAATAAACACAGGTGTTTGATGGGAAGATTTGCTTGTGCAGTCCCACCAGTAACTAGAAATATGCTCACTGTGACGCGTCATGTTCTTCTAAACGAATAATTTACGAAGTGCTGTGTACAGCTCGACGCTAGTAAGGTCACAGCACACATGTAGTCGTCTCGCGAAAGATCACACGAAGCCTTTCTAGACGCCGATGTCACAACAGGTGGGCGTTTATTTCAACGGCCTTTTTTAACAAACGTCAACTCTGCCGAGGGGCCTACGCAGCGAGAGCTGTTATTCTTGAAGTTAGAAGGTATCAATCTCCTCGTGCGTTGTGGACACGTCGTGACTTCGTGAAAAGCTACAGATACTGCACTTCGATCTCGTCTAGTGCCAGAGCCGTTCTACAGATGGTAGAGAGCGGCACATTTTCCAATCTTTGGAGAAGCGCTTACCGGAAAAAAAAGTACCTCAGACTACTTATTATTGTGGATGCCCTCATTATAGCGGTGCTACTCATTGACCATCGTACATTTAATTTAAGGACTCTTAGACAAACTCCTACAATGAAAAACGCAACAAGCTACAGCCAACAAACTGCGGCGCCAAGATCGATATATGGTTGGAAGATATTAACAGCGTGCAATAAGTCTTCTCTCAGAATACTCTTCATCGTATATACCACTCCAACTGACATACAAAAGCGGCGGTGGCTGAGAAAGACCATTGGCGATCCTTATCTTCAGTCTTCTGTGAATTCCAGCATTCTTTTCTTCGTTGGAAGTTCTACCGATGCACGGCAACAACGGGTGCTCGAAAGTGAAGCCGTTAGAGAAGGCGACATTGTTGTGCTCAACATCACGGAGGACCGCCACAACCTCTCCCTTAAATTTCTGCTCGGTGCAAGATGGATTCTCGAATACTGTTCTCCCGACTCTGCGACTATTGTCAAGATAGACGCAGACATATTGGTCAACGTCTATGCTTTGTCATCATACGTGAACAGCAATGTAATGTGGCTCACGGGCATCCATTGTGTTGTTTACAAAAACATTGCTCCAGTGCGAAAGAGAACTAGTGAGTGGTACGTAAGTAAAGACGACTACACATTAGAAGTGTACCCTAACTATTGTGCTGGAGACGCATACTTTATGAAGCCGGCTCTGCTATCTGCCATCGTCGATGCTGCGGTTCTTGTCCCGTACTTCTGGATCGAGGACGTTTATGTGACCGGCATCGTGGGAGATTTCGCCAATGTAAACTTGGTGGATATATCCGGACACGTTATACTGAGTAAACCGAGAAACCTGTTGAGAGTAAGTGCTACGACATTGTTCGTGAACACGCGCTTGGCCAGATTATCGGATAACAGAAAAAGTTCCTTGTGGAAAGATATTTTGCAGCGAAATAAGTCAATGCAACGAGAATACCGCAAGAACGTTGAAGTGTACTATCGCAGTGTTGGTTAGAACATGTGGCCGAAATATACCATTTAGTGTAGCAACACAACAAGCAGTCATGAATCCACGTATTTTTGAATGTGCAAATACTGCAGAGAGAATCGCCCTTGTTTAAAGTACTGCAATATTTGAAAATAAATCGTCGTTTAAAAACTGTATTCAAGCTATTGATTAAACAAGCTACCAGAATGCACAGTGCTTTACACGGCCCTTTATATTCATTCTGCTGATGAGTAAAAGGCCAGTCTCCACTGAAACGCAGAAAAAACTTTATATATATATATATATATATATATATATATATATATATATATATATATATATATATATATATATATATATATATATATATATATATATTCGTATAGGAAAGAAGACGCACGCACGAAGTGATTTTATTGACGTTTCGGCCGTGGGTCCGGCCTTCATCAGAATACAGTTTATGGCACGAGTGCTGTTTATATACATGTGCATATCAGTAAGATACAAATATGAAAACCGGCATGAAAGGCGATATATGGGCATATATATATATGCAAGTCACACAATATGATGGGCACCTAATCTACGAGAAAAAGATATTGCTTCCATGCGCGAGCACGTTGTTTACAAATAAAAGATAAAACACATCAAAGATAAAGCACATAACATGAAGAGCAGTTCGACCGGTAAAAGCAAGGGAAAAAAAGAAAAAAAACGTATAAAATACTAATAAAAATGACAAAGACGTTACAAAGCTGCTACGTAATCAACGGATACAGACAATTTAGTGCGACTTGCTGAGCAAGGTTCAAAAAAGATGGCAGGGTGATACAGGTTACGCAGATAGGCAACAATGTTTTCCTACGTTTTCATTCAGACCAGATGCGACGGCGTTGAACTTATAGATGAGGAATGATTCAAGGGCTTCTCTATCATAATTTGTGCGGAAACCAGACTCTAGTAATGTGACCTGTAGATTTTCAAAAGAGTGGCCAGGGAAGTGCACGTATCTTGAAATGGGCAAGTGGGGCAAGGTGTTAGCACGAGAATTATGGTTGTTAAAACGCAGTCTAAAAGGCCCTTCTGTGTGACCAATGTACTGTATTTCACATGGCGCACATTCTATCACGTATATCACGTTCTTAGAATCGCAGTCAAAATTGCCTTTGATTTTTAAGGAAAAGTTGGAACCAGTACTGGTGACCTGTTGGCATGTGCGCATGTAAGGGCATACTTTGCATCGCGGTTTTTGGCAAGGATGGCACCCGATCGTGTCAGGACTGTCTGCTTTCGACGATGATGACGATGAGAGTATGTCTTCACTGTGTCCTGCCTTCGCTGTTTTCACTCTGTCCTGCCACAGGCGGACACAGTGAATTTCAATTGGATAATTTGGAAAGACTTGGATAATTTTGCCCGCAACTTACGCTTGTGCGAGGTTTTTCATGACAGGCAAAATACAAATGGTTCCACAAGCGCATTACCTTTTGGAAAACGTTGGGTACCTCCCTCACAACGAGACAGATGCTTCGATATATATATCAAAGCTGTACAACGAGACGTACTACAGTCGTATCGAAAGCAAACGCTGTTTCGCCGTAACCTAACCGTCAGTGAAATGAAAGCATTAAATGTCTTGTCCTGTCGCAATGACGTCGTCATCAGGCCTGCGGACAAAATTGGGGCTGTTGTAGTAATGAACAAGTCTGATTACGAAGCAGAGGCCCAAATACAGCTCACAGACACGAGTGTTTACAAGCGTCTGGATCACGACCCCACTGAACAATTTACATCTCTTGTCCAAAGCACATTGCTAGAGCTTCTGGAAAACAAAAAGGTGCCTGATAATGCGATTCATTCTCTTATTCCCCTAAGTCCTGTCCTGGTCGTTTTTACCTTTTGCTAAAATACACAAAATAAACAAACCCGGTTGTCCCATTATTTCAGGTATACGTACTGTCACAGAAAAATTGTCCAGCTATGTCGATTTTCTGATCAGTAGTATCCCAGCATCGCTTCCGTCTTACGTAAGGGACACTACCGACTTTGTATCTGGTATAACTGATCTGGCTGTTCCTCAAGGTCCCTTTTTGGTCACGCTAGACGTAGCGTCTTTATACACCAACATTCTGCATGTAGACGGAATAGCGGCAGTCGCCAGGTCCTATGAAGCAGCATCGCCGGGTAAATTTATCGACAGCAACACATTAGCAGTATTGCTCAGGCTCATTTTAGAGCTAAATAACTTTCAATTTGAAGGGCAACACTATGTCCAAGTTAGCGGCACGTCAATGGGTACGCGTATTGGACCCAACTACGCCAATATATTCATGGGCCAGCTTGAAAATGAATTTTCGCAAACCCGCCCGCTGAAACCTTTTTATTATAAACGTTACATTGATGACATTTTCCTTATTTGGCCGCATGGTGAACAGGTGTTCCTTTCCTTCATATCTGACTTTAATGATGCCCATCTATCAATATCATTTTCTCATACCTATTCCACATCACACTTAGTTTTCTTGATGTAAGCATTTCGATTGTAAATGAAAAGCTATCCACTGCTCTATACAGGAAGCCTACAGACCGGCAACAGTATTTGCACTTTGACAGTAGCCACGTGAAACATTGCAAAACTAGCATCCTTTACAGTAAGGCCTTAAGCTTTAAAGGAATCTCCTCAGAGCAATCACAGTTTCAAAAAAATTGCAGAACACTAAAGGATGCTCTAGTCAAACAAAAATATCTGCCGCAATTAATTGATGACGCAATAAAACGTGCCGACATGCATAATCGTAGAACGCTGTTGTGCGCTGCTAAAAACTTGACTCCCTCACCGCAGACAAACTTAGTTCTTACCCAATCTGGGTCAGTTCCGCGTGTTTCGAATGTGCTGAGAAAGCACCACAATATTCTAATGCAAAGTGAACGCTTAAGAAACATTTTCACCGAACCACCTAAAGCAGTGTATCGCAAAGCTATAACTATTCGAGACATACTCTCATCGTCATCATCGTCGAAAGCAGACAGTCCTGACATGATCGGGTGCCATCCTTGCCAAAAACCACGATGCAAAGTATGCCCTTACATGCGCACATGCCAACAGGTCACCAGTACTGGTTCCAACTTTTCCTTAAAAATCAAAGGCAATCTTGACTGCGATGATAAGAATGTGATATACGTGATAGAATGTGCGCTATGTGAAATACAGTACATTGGTCAAACAGAAGGGACTTTTAGACTGCGTTTTAGCAACCATAAATCTCATGGTAACACCTTGCCCCACTTGCCCAATTCAAGACACGTGCACTTCCCTGGCCACTTTTTTGAAAATCTACAGGTAACATTACTAGAATCTGGTTTCCGCACAAATTATGACAGAGAAGCCCGTGAATCATTCCTCATCTATAAGTTTAACGCCGTTGCATCTGGTCTGAATGAAAACGTAGGAGAACTTTGTTGCCTATTTGCGTAACCTGTATCACCCTGTCCATCTTTTTTGAACCTTGCTCAGCAAGTCGCACTACATTGTCTGTATCCGTTGATTACGTAGCAGCTTTGTAACGTCTTTGTCATTTTTATTAGTATTTTATAGTTTTTTTTCTTTTTTTTCTTGCTTTTACCGGTCGAACTACTCTTCATGTTATGTGCTTTATCTTTGATGTGTTTTATCTTTTATTTGTAAACAACGTGCTCACGCATGGAAGCAATATCTTTTTACTCGTAGATTAGGTGCCCATAATGTTGTGTGACTTGCATACATATATGCTCATATATCGCCTTTCATGCCGGTTTTCATATTTGTATCTTACTGATATGCACATGTATATAAACAGCACTCGTGCCATAAACTGTATTCTGATGAAGGCCGGACCCACGTCCGAAACGTCCATAAAATCACTTCGTACGTGCGCCTTCTTTCCTATACGAATAATCTTTCCGGAACCCAGCATCATTATATATATATATATATATATATATATATATATATATTGTAATGATAATAAATAGTGGGGCTGAGGCAAGGGCGCAGGCTAGGTTAGGGAAGCGGAGAAAGACGAAGTCACAATAAGAACAGCCGGCCTGCAGCAAAGGCGTTGTCTCTTATTTCTCGTCGTTACAATGGCGCAGTCGACGAAGAAAACGGCTTACGTCTCGGTTTCGTCATCCAGAACGCCCGCCGACGTGCAGCCGCGGTAAGCGTCGCTTGAGGACGGCGTCAAGCCCTCCTCGGCAGCTGTTTACTGACACCACCGTTCGGGGACGGCGTCAAGGCCTCCTCGGCGGCTCCAGCACCCGTTACCGGTACCAGTTCACGATAAGGAACGCCGTCACGCTTCTTCGCTGATGGAACCCGCAAGGCGTCCGTCGCGGCCAGCATCGATCCCAGCACCGACGGATGGCGTCCAGGCCTCCGTTGTGGTTCCGGGAAACTTGTCCTGGGACGCGACACGTCGCGGCAACCATGCGCACGGGCCTCTCTCACCTAGGGATGGCGTACATACCTCCTCCATACCTGGCAACCTGTCGGCGCTTCAAGCACCCACCGTGTACGGCGTCGAGGCCTACCCGGCGGCGCAAGACCGCTTCATCTACGCCACAGTACCAGGTCACAACTCATCACACGGGTTCCGCTTGCCTGGGAACGTCGTTGACGCTTCCAGCGCCCTGGAACCCATGTCCACGATTCCTACCACAGCTGGATTTCCAAGGGACGCCGTCCACGCGTCCTTGGTCAGCAATTGTACCACCTCGAGTACCGCAGTCACTGTATCCTCCGCAGAGGCGGGCCTTGGCTCTTCGTGCGGATCACACGACAGCGCAGCGGAGCTGCAGCATACCATCGCGCAACTCCGCGTCACGACCAACGCCCTCATAGCGTCGAGCTCCCAGCTATGTCCTGCCATCTTGCCAACATTGTGCGCACTCAATGCCATGTTGGCTGCGGCCGCCTCACAAAACTTCGAGGTAAGCTCGCCCGAGAACCGTCGCAATCTCGGGCGTTCTCTCACGGAGGTATCAGAGCAAGTGAACTGCTTGGCGTGGGCACATTTCGGAGTTTTGCCCGCAGTCCCGCCATCGCCGATTTCCTTCGAGCTACCGGAGTTTCGCGGCTTCCAGGACGATGCCAAGGAATGGGTGGCAACCGTCAA